ATATATATATACCCACACATATACACATATATATACACACACATACACATACATATACACACAGTGGTAAATACATACACACACATGTACATGCATATATATAGTTATCGATAGATATATATCATTATATAGATGGATATAGATAGGTAGGTAGAAAGGTAAGATGATTGTCTGATGGATAGATATTTACAGATGGTAGAGAGACAGATGGATGAGTAAACAGACAGACAGAGAGATAAGGTGAGAGAAAATTCCCAGACTCTGTTGATTTCCACCTCAGAGAGCTGAGCTGTTAAACCAGAGATGAAACGTCTCTGATGATTCAAATCCAGTAACAGCTATTTTTTGGGGGGTGGGAGGAGAGGGCGAATGATGGACAATTTCTTCCCCACCAGAGAGTCAGCTAAGAGTCATTTTTTCAATGTCATTGAGCAAGAAACTGTAAGAAAATAACTGTCTGTTTCACAAAGCCACCCCCTTGTGGTATCATCTTTACTGCAATGCAGCAGAACAGTTCCACCGGGCAGTTTGCACCGTCCAGAAAAGCACAGAGGGCTGTCCCCTACCTGTCCACCAGCTTCTTGGCAAAGCCAAAGTCGGTGAGCTTGACGTGACCCTCACGGTCCAGCAGGATATTCTCAGGCTTGAGGTCTCGGTAGACGATGTCCTTGGAGTGCAGGTACTCAATGGCACAGACGATCTCGGCCGAGTAGAACATGCCCGTGGGGCTGCTGAAGTGACCCCTGTTGCGGAGGTAGCTGAAAAGTTCGCCGCCTGGGACAAACTCCATCAGCATGTACAGGAAGCTGTCATCGTGAGATGTCCAGAGCCTGCAGGAAGAGAGAATGGACATTCATGAGAAGGGACACTTGAGAAAACTGGACCTCAGCCAGGCTTCCTATGTCCAGCCATTCACCCACAGCAGGGCCCCATGGCTGTGAGGCCCACAGTGGTCCAGGGTGGCTAACACTAGGCCTCCACTCCACAGGACTTCAGCTGCCTAAATCCTGCAAAGGTTGCCAGGCCTTTCTTGGGAGGCACCTTTCTGAGCGTAGCTGACCGACTGTGCTGTCTGTGACCTATCCACAGCTGAGCTGGTCGTGGACTTCCAAAACCCCATTTAAAAACAAAACAAAACAAAACAAAAACTCATTTGCTACAGAAACCAAATAGTTTATATAGGGTTTTTTTCAGCCTTGGAAACACAATGGCATCAAAATCATCAACTTAAAAGGTGGGAGCCGGTGTAGGGAGGAAATGTACATTATTTATGGCCCCTTTTCTTAGTTTCCCCCAGCCCCTGCGTCAGTCTTGTTTTATAACAGTGGTATTATGCAGTATTTGTCCTTTTGTGACTGAGATATTTCACTCAGCATCATGTCCTCCAGGGTCACCGATTTGGAATATTATTTTATGAGTTCCTTGCTTTTCAGTGCTGTGTAGTATTCCATTGTGTGAATAGACCACAGCTTCTCCATTCATTTGTTGATGGGCACTTGGGTTGTTTCCCACTCTTTGCTATTGTGAACAAAGCCACGATAAACATGAGTGTGCGTCTATCTGCTTGGGTGTCAGTTATGGTTACTTTAGGGTCTATTCCCAGTAGTGGAATTGCTGGGTCAAATGATATCTCTATTTGCAACTTTTTGAGAAAGCGCTATACTGCCTTCCACAGTGGTTGCACCATTTTACACTCCCACCCACAGTGAATAAGGGTTCCAGTTTCTCCACAACCTCGCCAGATATTTTATATTCTAAATTTCATACCAAATATTATAGGAAAATCCAGATATTTTATATTATAAATGTCATTCCAAATATTATAGAAAAAAACACATATTTTATATTATAAATTTTATGCCAAAATCCAGATATTTTATATTCTAAATTTTACACCAAATGTTATAGGAAAATCCAGATATTTTATATTCTAAATTTTACACCAAATGTTATAGGA